AATCTATCCATGAATTCTACAAAATGCATCCAGCTATTGAACTTGTATAAAACTGTGTGCATCATCATGATCCAGTGCGTTTGTGTTTGCGCCCTCTAGTCTATTCTGACCAGTGACACTTTTATCCTGCAATGCTTAAAAGTAACTTGATGAAACCGGAATGGCGCACTGTGAACTATAGCAAAATGCCAGTTGAACAACAGAGTTCAAAGGCACTGAGAATATCCACAAATAATAACACATATAAGACCGGCATTTTGAGATGTCCGGATACCTGTATACGTTCTTCCGTGACCAACTTCCGCATAACTTTTCATTCTGATTGAGTTTGAGTGATATCCGGAAATAATATGAGTACATTGCACTAGGATTTCATGTTTGGAAATTTAAACGATAAAGTCAATAGGAAAAAAAGGAGGCAAAAAATAAGAGTGTGCTTGATCATGCCAAAAATATTGGCCAGGTTATAAAGAGTCCAGGTTTTGAGAGACTTTTTTTGGAAACCGAAAATGTGAAACACCGATTTGTAGTTCCTCTGAAATATTATTTTGAATGATCAATACATCTTTACTGTTCTGAATCACAGCAGGGAACTTGATGTTTTATACTTGCGAAAAACTGCGGTCAGAAAACAGTCCAACCTAACAGTCGAACCTAAATAAAAAAAGCCCATAAATGTGACTTCGTAGTGTATTATCCATATCGACAAGAATCCAAATGATTTTTGTTCAAGAAGTAAAGAAACCAGTAAGTATTTGGACAATTTGTTTTTGAGAGTGCACAATGGAAGTAGTAGCGGAAATATTGCCAGACAGGAATTCCTCATTTTTATTGCCTTGAAATTTGAACTCGCAAAACCGTGGTCTGCATCCGCACCAACTGTTTACATTATAAGAGCTGAAATAAAATAGCTCGATAATTTACAAAAGTGTTTGAAATTAACTCTTTCAGACGGGCTTAGTGAATGTTATGCACAAACAAAGTCCGTCTGAACAAGTTAATTTCAAACACATTTGTAAATTATCGCAATACTTTATCAACTCCAAAGTGGTCGTTGGGAAAAGGCACAACTTCTGGATCGGAATTAGCGCGCTGGTTTTGCTGTTAGCAGACGTGTATCAGAGTCATAGTGAAATGAAAAAGAACAATTTGTTCATAAAAATCTTGGGTTTTTTTTTCAGTCCTCAAGCTACCACATTTTCACAAGCACACAAAGACGGGAAAATATCAAGCCTACCACCGCGCTCGCTGTTTGGAGAATCATTGAATCAGCAACATTCAACAAAATCTGAATCCCGCATTGATTCAAACACATTGTGCAAAAACAACAAATTTCTTCAGAGGAAAAATGATTGTTTCAAACACTCACCGAGCAAAATCTTGTTCTTGCAGTCAGTTCTCTCTCTGGTTGTCGTCCGAAGGTGACCTGTGGTTGATGTGAAGGGTGGACGGCCCCACATGTCTTAAATAGTGCCATCGATTTCCTGAGCAGTGACTAAAAACTCGGACCTGGATTGTGATTGCATGGCTCCTGTGCGCTGTCAATCACACATCACCGACTCGCTTCATATTAATGATATGAAAGCAATGTTAATGTCGTTGAGGCTATATAGTCACCATAAAAACTAGTCACCGAGATTGAAATGGCCGCTTCTTATTGGTGGATATTGTATGGATGTCGGTGACACATCCAAATATGGAATTTATGATTGACACACACAATCTGTCAGTCACAGACCACTCACTTGTGGTCACCGACTTGTCGTCACCAACTTGTCACCGACAAACTGTGATTGGTGGATAGACAAGTGACGTATACACCGGCCGTGATTCATTCAATGTACAGTTGGCGCTTCAGTCTATTAAATTGTGTGGATATATTCGGGATTATGAGGAATTAAATCGTACTCAAGCCAGCGGAGAAACTTGGGTTTAACTTGGGGTAGGGCACCTGAGGTGCGTGTTTTTTTTTCAAAGGCTGCACTAAATGCAAAATAAACGTATTATTACAGCTTACAGTGAATGTTTTAATTCAGGTTTTCAAAATGGGGCGGGGGAGGGCTGGGGCCGGCTTCCACAGGGGGTGGGGTAAATGCCCCGTGTCCCCGTAGTTTTGCCCCTGAGGTAGGCTTTGCTCATTGATTGGGACTTTGAGGAAATAAAATACAGTTGAATAAACTTCCATGAACTTTACGCATCATATACGGCCCGTGTATAATCGTGGCCTTCTAAATGTGGAAAAGGTTTTTACACTTGAATATCTCCCAGTTCGAATAATCATTTCCAGAAATGTTAGAATGTATGACCGGTGATGATGGACCTAAAAAGCAAACGTTCACTACCTAAAGTAATGACACAGTTCCAATAAAGCATGTTAAGTGATTTAAACGAGAAAGGCTTGTATGGAACGACCAGACTTCCTACATTTGCTAGTTTGTGGCCTCCGCATAAAGCGCACGATTCACCCTGAACTAGCCCTGGTGATATCCGGACAAATCATACCAGAGTTTGCCATTCTGTATTGCGAACCACCTCGATTTATAATAATCTCTGAAGCAATGACGTAGCGACGATGGGGGTGGGGTGGGATAGTTGAACGATCACAGCCCCCCCCCCTTCCCCCTCCCCTCCCCCATACCAGTGGGACCATACCATACAAGTAAATGACAAAGCCACTTGTCTGATTAGGGGCCTTACATGGCCTTGTTCCGAAGCCGGGCACGAAGCCTATGTTTACAAAACGACCGAAAGTCATCGAGGTCATGAGACATACCGGCGTTTCTCAAACTCCGGCTTCGTTCCGTAAACCGGTTTCGGGCATGCGGCTTGGCAATAGAGCTGGATCCGGTATTGGAATGAAGCTAGGATTTGGAAAACCTCGCTTGTAGCTCACTCGACGTGTGTCAAGTCGCCGTTCAAAACGCCTCGCTGTTTCGTCCCTCGGTTAACTGCCGGCGCTTGTCAGGATGACCTTGTGGAAAGGCTACAGTTAGGCCTCTTGACCAGCAGAGGCAATCTCTTGTTCATATTTGCGGAGCCACCAACTTGGAAAGTTTGAAAAGCTGGGGTGGAGGGGGTTGGGCTTAGACGCTACCTGTCTATTGAGGGCACTGTTCCAAAATGCATGTATACATACCCGCGTACTGTAGCTATAGTGGTAGATAGTGGTAATGACTTGAAATAAAAGACATTCTTATTAAAAATAACACTCAAAATATTTTTGATTTTATTTCTAGAAGATAACATGCTTTATACTTGGTGCACATAATCATGGTCTCAAGACGTATCTGCGTCGTTTGGAATGCATTGCGTAACCAATGTGTCTATGTCGTTCAGAAAATTGCACAACGAACAATGTCCAGCTTTCGTTTCAGGTAGATTGCGAAATCAGAAATCGTTGCTTTTCGTTTGATAAAACTGCGCAAGAAAAGAAGGGGAAACAAAATAATTCCTTACCATATAAGGTTATATGTGGTTGATATTTAAAGGGAATATACATCATTTGCTTTTGCTGTAATTTTCAGAAATGGATGGAATTGGCTGGTCGGAAATATATAGCAAATATAGTTACACTGACTTTTTTGAGGTTTTGGGTTCGAAAATGCTATAAAAACCAAGAAAAACAATCATTTTCCTGTAGTCTGGTTCCCTGACTCCATTTATGAAGAAACAGAGCAGTTTACATATATTGGGGAATTGTAAGATCAGGGAACCAGTCTAGCTGGCTTGTACCCGTTCATAGGTGTGTAATCGATTGCAAACAAGTGCGATGGTCAACTGGGGCCAGTATTTGAAAAAAAGCCAGTTTTTTCCAACGCTGATCGGCCGATTAGCGTTGGAAATTGATACAAAAATACCACTTTTCTTGAAAATGACAGTATACCAGGTGCCATGATTTTACAGGATGCTTTACACTGTCATTCACTAACAGTCCAGCAAGGTATTTCAAAATGATTTGGTAGTTTTATATTTTGATATTTGCAAATGTTGTATTTTCCCTTTAAAAAACAAAATGGGTCGATGAATGTTGATCGAAGCTTCTCCTACTTTCCAAGGAATGTTTGCATAATTGTTTTGGAGAAAAGTTTTTGTTGTTTGCCAAATTGAATTAAAAATATGAGGCTAAGGCCAAAAAAAAAAGTCTCCGGTTTCTGGTATGCGCGCGTCGCCGTAGCCATGCGCGTCGGCAAAATGAAAAAAGTTTTTTTTTTTTATGAAACATGATGTCTCAAAACCGCCAAACTCACTGGTTTGACTTGAATCCTGCTGCTGCACAATTTTAACGTGTTTTTAGATTGGGTTATGGTCGAGAATAAGCTTTATGTGGCCTCTCTGGACTCCCATATATTTGCACTAAGTTTACTCGGGCACCATTTGCAGTCATCAGCCGACATTTGAACCAAAAAAATCAGGTAAAAAAAAAAAAAAGCCGCGCCGCGGCACCACTTTTTGGGCAAGCTCCATACCAGAAACCGGAGACTTTTTTTTTGGCCTAACCTCTTGTATTTTTTTATTGAGGAAAAAACAAAAAATCTAAATTGCCTCAAAGTTGTTGGAAAACTTGCAAAGGGATCCCGGAATACATTCTAAGTTAATGCAACAGATATTTCTTCAGTTATCTTGTGGAAACCGAGTGTGAAAGTTGACTCAAAATTGCCCGTTATTTTTTGCGTTAAACACATCTACATTTTGTGGATGGAAATTTGTGTCCTTGACGAAAAGATAATCTTGATCAAAATCTGTAGCAAAATCGCTACATCAGCGGAAAAAAAAATTCAGTGTGTGTGGAAGCATTGAGCGTCTGGCCGTACTACAGAGCTTGCGATAGTACTGTACGGCCAGACGCAGTCGGGCTAGACTTTGACTTCAGTTTGCATGGACAGTCCCTAATTTTCGGGCTAGGTTCAACTAAGAAAACACGCCCAGCAAATAGCAACTCACTGTGGCTTTATTTATGTAATACAAGTGCCTTTCTGTCTGTATCCTGTGGTTTTTAATAGAAATTGATGACGTGCATGCCATGAGCAGCCAGTGATGCAAGACACAGAGTCAGAGGAATGCAGCATATGATGCAATTGATGGCAGTACAGATAGCAGGTTGATCTCCAATGGGCAGCAGACATGGAAAGAATGTTGCAACCTGACGCCACTTCAGCGGTACAAAGTCTATGGTGAGTCAAGAAAATTGAAGTATTTCCTAACATTGAAATTGGGAATGTTTCTTAGTCCTAGATTCATGTCTTATCATCATTTTTTCAATGACTGTCCTTCATTGAGATGATATATGAAGAAAACGGCAGTGTCAGGTCGCAAAATTGTTTTCGCAGGTTTATGCTTGTCCGAAAATTTGGGACTCGACACGAATGTCGGACACTTCGCCCCATTTCCACGTCGCCCCATGTCACTTCGCCCCTAACCACTTCGCCCCATCCCCACTTCGCCCCATTCCCACATCGCCCCATCCCCACTTCGCCCCATTCCCACTTCGCCCCATTCCCACCTCGCCCCATTCCCACTTCGCCCCATTCCCACTTCGCCCCATTCCCACTTCGCCCCATTCCCACTTCACCCCATCCCCACTTCGCCCCAGCCGTTACATGCAAAAAAAAATCTCATCTATTTTTTTGGCTTAAAAAACAATTTCAACAGATTCACTAATTGCTAACAACGGAAAGAATTAGCCCATCACCAAATGAACAATTCATAACCAACCTTTCAAGCTAGGCTCTCCCCTACCGAGAAAAAAGCAAGGTCCAACTTTGTTCCCAACCCGGCTATACCAACCCGTCTCCCACTTATCTGAGAACGACAATACCTTTGACATCCTAATTTCACTCGTGGAGGAACCAATCTCATCTAAATGAAGTTGTAAGTGTCACATATCAGACAAATTTTGACGGAACATTTTCCTCAAGGCAGTGAGTTCCTTTTAACTCACTGACCCATACCTACGGATTCTTTTGAATCCCGGCCAGCGGCTGATGATTTTATTCACAAGCCAATAGGAGAGGCGTCTCTGAATGGGATAGAGCCATCATTTCTCTCATCTGTGTCTCGAGCACCTCATCAGAGAGTTTGTATTTTTCCTAAGTTTCTAGAATTGGGAGCATTTATTATCTGGGGTCTTTGGCAGTTTATTTGGTCTGCACCCCTAGCCTTCACCTTTTTCATACTACATGGGGCGAAGTGGGGATGGGGCGAAGTGGGGATGGGGCGAAGCGGGGATGGGGCGAAGTGGGGATGGGGCGAAGCGGAGATGGGGCGATGTGGGGATGGGGCGAAGTGGGGATGGGGCGAAGTGGTTAGGGGCGAAGTGACATGGGGCGACGTGGAAATGGGGCGAAGCGTCCGACACCCCTCTCATCAATACTGTGTTTTGCATGTTTCAGAGCACTCCATGCCAGGTCCCAGTAGTGTGGGTTTATTATAGGACTGCAGGGTATGTTGGCGACACAGATTTTATATTTCGGTTCCAAAAAGTTGATCAAATGAGTGGGTGCGTTCCGGGCTTTCAGGAAGCTTTTGAGGAAAAAAATAGGTACGCTGTCTTGAATGGGATTTGAACCAAATAGCTGACGCCTATTATTGCAACTCTTATTAGCAACTTGAGCATCATGCATGTTGAAGTTGTTGGGGCTGTTTATGAAGCTCGATGGAGGTATTTTTACTAAAAACCTGGAATATATGTTACTGTCCCTGTGGAAAACTTAGTCTGAATAATGCAAAGATGTCAGTGAGTTGTTTTTTTTTTCAAAACGAAGATTCACATTGCAAGATTAAAAGGTCAGTATTAAAAACAATTTCAGAATTTTTTTTTTTATGATGTATTTAATCATCAGGATTCATTTGATGACTGAGCCGCCATAGCAGCAGATCACTGACAGAACAGCAGCAGCGCTACAAGGGGTCTCAGCTGTCCGATACAGCAGAGAGGAAGACAAGCTAAGACAAAGAACAACGACAATGACACATGATGAGTATCTACAGTTGAGTAACAAGATGCTTAGTGCAAGTATAGGAACAGTAGTTGATTCAGCTGGGATCCATGGAGGACATGCTGTGAATGTTTCATCATGGCAACTCAGTCTCAGACAAGATTGTTCCAGGTGCTGATGCGTTACATTATGTTCAGCGAGGATGTTACTAGTCCTTATCATTGGTTTTTAAAACTGTATGCATGCAGTACTGACATGCGTGAAATGCTTTGGTTAAAGGGAATGTACAACATTTGCCTTTGCTGCATTTTTTTCAAAAATAAATCGATTTGGAGGATTAGGCCCTAGTATGTTATGGCAAATATTGTTCAAATGACTGGCTTCACGTTTTGGGCTTGTATATGCTGGCAAACCGAGAAAACCAATCATGTACTTGAAGTCTGGTTGCCTGAACCAGTCTTAAGATGAAGCAGAGCAATTTGTAGACTTTGGGGAATTGTAAGGTCAGAGAATCAGTCTAGAAGGCTTGAACCCTTTCACCAGTGTGTAATCAATTGCAACGATAACGCGAAATAACTAAATATGAAAAATTAGGAACTGTTTTTATAGCCATTTTTTCCACTGCTGGTTGGCTAACCAGTGTTGGAAAAATACAATTTTTCTTGAAAATGTCAGCACACCAGGAGCCATGATTTTACAGGATGCTAAGCTTTTGTGTCATTCCCTAACAATCAAGTGAAGTACTTCGTGTAAATTTGACCATGTCGTTTTTTATGCTTGCAAATGTTATATCTACCCTTAACATATGTTTCATTTTTGCAATAAAATGCTCTTCAACTATTTCAATAATAACACAGTCAGTGACAACTATGTGTTAAGTTTCATATACGTGTAAAGTTTTAAACGCTGTTGAAAGAATTAAAATGAAAATCATTTTCAGAAAAAAAATTCCAAACTTGTCTCTTCTATAGTTTTCAATTTCTTGATCCCATCATGGATGGAGGATTAAATAATATTTTTTTTTTTAAAAGAGAGAGAAGAATATAACATACAATTTTAGTGTTTATATTTTTGAAGTATTTGATTCTGAAAACAAAACTTCATTTTTTTTTAAAAGATAAGTTCACCAAATTTATTTTTGGGGAAAGAAAAAAGAAAAAAAGAAGAAAATTAAGTAATAATATAATCATGGTGGGATTCGAACCCGAGTCGCCAGATTGGGAGTCTTACGCCGGTCCAGCAGACCATTAACGCGCTCACATGCACTATTAGTTCTTTTTAATTACAACTGTAAGATAGACTTATCGCGGCTTTTCACGTACATGCCCATGCACGCTTAGACGTAAAACACAGTCTGACGATGTAAATCACTCGTTTGGTTTTGGGTGTAGCTGTTCAAGTTGATCTAAATTTATTTGGAAAAGGATACACTGAACTGAAATCCAGAAATTCCATGGAATAAAACTCGACAATCCTTGGTTTCAGTACGAAACACACATGTTCAACGGATGCAGAGAAGCCTATTTCTTTTGTTAATTTCCTTTGTTGAATCTTGCGTTAACAATAAAATGTTTCCATTGAGGGAAAAGGATTAAACGCCGCGATCTTTTTTCACGCTTGAGTGCATCTGAATGGGGAATATTGAAGCGGAAAATCACGATTTACAGCACTTAGGCAGCATTTTATCCCACATAATGATACTTTTTGGAGAGGAAATTGCATACTGAATACAACTGTAGTTTCAAAATTCAAAAATTCGCCGTATATTAAAAGTCGAGGTAATTTTTTTGGAAATATTTCACCCAAACTTTCCTCATCCGAACGTAGGCGGCGCTATATATATTTCATTCTCGCACGTGCACCGTATCCAGAGTTGGCTAGCGCATTATCGTGTGTGTATGGCATTGAAAGGGATGGGGCGGGGCTGGCTGCCTGTTATGTATACATGTACGGTTTATAACCCTTTTTTAAAAACATTTTTCCACTAACGACTTTAAGTAAAAATATTTCGCACGTTCCCCCCTCCCCCCATCTCACACGACAAAACAAATTCCCGCCCCCCTCTTGCTTCATGGGTATACCGGGGCCCTTTTATTAATATCCTTATACGCGTCTCTTTTGTTCCATTAAAGTTGACTTTTATTCTGATTGCATTTTGTTTCACAGACCTTAATTATCTATTGTTTTAGTTGTAGATCTATTCAACTTTTGTTCGTGAGATAAATTGAAACTGTGATGCTAAAATAAGATTGGGTAAACGGGTGATACACAGATCGGGCGGCGGCTATCGCTCTAACAATGCGCGCACTGAGAATGAAATATATATATAGCGCCGCTTACGATAGGTTGAGGAAAGTTTTGGTGAAATTTTTCCAAACAAATTTCGTCGACTTTTTAAATACGGCGAATTTTTGAATTTTGAAACTATGGATGTATTCAGTATGCAATTTCCTCTTCAAAAAGTATCATAATGTGGGATAAAATGATGCCCAAGTGCAGTAAATCGTGATTTTCCACTTCAATATTCCCCATTCAGAGGCACTCAAGCGTGAAAAAAGATCGCGGCGTTTAATCCTTTCGCCTCAATGGAAACATTTTATTGTTAACGCCAGATCCAACAAAGGAATTTAACAAAAGAAATAGGCTTCTCTGCATCCGTTGAACACGTGTGTTTCGTACTGAAACCAAGGATTGTACGAGTTTTATTTCATTGAATTTCAGGATTTTAGTTCAGTTGACACCCTTCACCCTTTTCCAATTAAATTTAGATCAATTTGAACAGCTACACCCAAAATCAAACGAATGTTTTACATCGTCAGACTGTGTTTTACGTCTAAGCGTGCATGGGCGTCAACGTGAAAAGCCACGATAAGCCTATCTTACAATAAGGGAATAAATGTGTGCTCTGGAGGTTTTTATCACTCGTTTAATACCGCTTAGAGTCTGGGTGCTGATAATAACCCGAGCCGGAGGCGAGGGTAATTATCAGCACCCAGACTCTAAGCGGTATTAAACGAGTGATAAATACCGACCGAGCACATATTTATTCCCATTCATAAATACCTTATCCGTAAAAAAATTTCAAATAATTCGTTCAAAAAATCCCGATTTTGTTCAACAAGTTCACTTCATGCTTTTTGAAACATCCCTCTAGCAAAATAATGGAGTGTTCAGCTGGCGAGTAAGATGTAAACAACCCTTTTATGGAGATTGACGCGCGCGTAACATGTTCTGCGCGATGTCACGCAGAACGCACCTGGGGCGTTGCGTTTTGAATTTAGAACTATAAAATTCTGACTCGCTTGTAGTGTTGCGCATGCCTACGTGAGGATTGTGAACGTTCAACCAATGAAACGGTAAGAGGCACTGGATTTTTAGGAGTCCACATTTTATTGTGACACTGGAAAAGTGTTTAAGACCAGCTAGCCATGTCTTTATCATCCGTTTAATACCGGCCACGTGACGGGCTCTCGACCAATAGGAATAGCTAAACTGTCTGAGGTATTTATGAATTGTAATTAAGCAGAACTAGTATAATATTGAGTGCGTTAATGGTCTTGTGGACCGGCGTAGGACTCTCAATCAGGCGACTCAGGTTCGAGTCCCACCATAATTACATTTTTTTTTTTTTTTTTTACTGTCCCAACTTTTTATAGCTCCATGCCCAAGCAATTTAAGAACTTATCTTTTTAAATAAACCGAAGTTTTGTTTTCAGAATCCCAAACAAACTACCAAGAAAACAAACAAATCAATAACAAACAGGTATTTTTTTCACTGTTATTTATTGTGATGATTTAATATCCCTTTATTCAAAGAACTATGCACAGCATTCCAACAATATTTTAAGTAACATTTACTTATATAATTCACCTACACAATATTTACACTGCAAGATAAGATTTATCGGACTTAAAGGGAATGTACAACATTTGCTTTTGCTGCAATTTTCCAGAAATAAATGGATTCGGAGGATTAGTATGTTATAGCAAATATTGTTAAAATGACTTTTTTTTACGTTTGGGCTTTTTTTTTACGTTTTTTTTTAAGGTAAGCAAATTGTTCCTCTGAGGTATCAGCATGCCTTTTGCTGTGTTTACTGTTTACGGTCTCTGTAATATAGACATGTATATTTATATCAATATAAACCATTAATTAGTATAATTACATTACGTACAGATGACTACCCCCCTCCTTGAATAACCATTCCTGGCCCATTCTCATGCCGTTGGCTTGTCTCTAAACAGGCCCCAGAAACTCCAAGAAAACAAACTTGCAGAGTTGTCCTACATGTAAGCAACATTTGTGACGTGAACCTTCATAATTACGATGAGTGTTTCAATGCTGCCTGACTGACTGTCTGACCGAGTCACTGAGTATTAACTGATCGAGTCAGTCACTATTATCACTGACTGACCGAGTCACTGACTGAATCACTGACTGCGCGATGAGTCACTGACCAAGTCACTGAGTTGATGACAGCCACTGAGTCGCTCAATGAGTCACTGAGTGATTCCTTAACCCAGTCGCTGACCGAATCAATGACTGAGTCACTGACTGAATCACTGAGTCGCTGATCGAGTCACTGAGTCGCTCACTGAGTCACTGACTGAGTCACTGACCGAATCTGACTGAATCGTGGTGTCGCTGATCGAGTCACTGAGTTGTTGACTGAGTCACTGACTGAGTCACTGACTGAATCTGACTGAATCATGGAGTCACTGAGTTGTTGACTGAGTCACTGACCAAGTCACTGACTGAGTCACAGAGTCCAGCTTAACTAGGCAAGCCTACTTTGTTTATGCCATGAGAGACTAGCCTCTCTCCAGAACTGTTGTTTTCTCCTGCATAACCATCTTGCCAAAGCTAAATAGAGAAAAATTCCAAGGCAAATTTCCCATGCGTCAAGAATAATTAAATCACCCCTAATCAACAGTATCGTTCCATTATTTTATTTTTGGAAAATCCCTTTGCAAGCAGGGGTTTTTGGAATGTACAAATTTAAACAATGATGTACAATCTCAAGACTAGGATAGGAACCACCTCAGGAAACTGGTACCCTGTTGTCCTTGGCCCACTTCTTCATGACACGGATGATGTATTCCACCTGCGGGTTACCGGTGTTGCGCAAGATTTGGAGGATGTCTTGCAGTGTTTCTCTGTAGAGGAAAAAAAATGACAAAAATCTAGTGGCTTGAACTTCACTGGGTTTTGTGCACATAAAAATGAAAGCTATTAACAAGATGGACTTTGCGTCGGGGTGATGTAAATCAATGTTAGGATTTGCCCTTCACCGATGTATAAACACTGTATACTCGGTGTGTTACCTCCTGAGTGAAAGTTGGAAAAATAATCACTTGGGTGGGATTCGAACCCACGACTCGACCACCGAGCTTACGGGATTGGTGGTCCAGTGGTAAGATGTCTGCACTAGAAAGCAGGTCATGGGTTCGAGTCCCAACCGAGTGATTTTTTCCAACTTTCACTCAGGAGGTAACGCACTGAGTATACAGTGTTTATACGTCAGTGAAGGGCAAAACCTAATAGTGAAAATGAAAGCTGTCTATAAGGAAAAATCCATAAAGATCAATGAATTTGAACTAAGGGCTAAGAAGTTAAAAAGTATTCATGAAGATTTGTAATAAAAAGCTGTATCCTCTCTGAGTGATCCCCGTTTGATATTTGCCAGGTCTGCATCGTGACTTTGGGCGTGATCCCTGGCTGCATGGCATATGCGGGTTGAGGGCTTCTGACTAGTGCACCTTTGACAGAGACATTGACAATTAAGGAACCGCCAACATTGGGCTGGATAGCTCAGTTGGTAGAGCACCGGAGTGATATACTAATTGAGATGTAATTGGTCAGTGCGCACTGTTTGATTGATGTACTGTGGTCACCTGACCGTCACCTGACCATAAGTTGGGATCTGATTGGTCAGTGTGCACTGTTTGATTGATGTAGTGTGGTCATCTGACCAGAGGTTGAGATCTAATTGGTCAGTGTGCACTGCTGATTGACAGAG